CCAAGTAGGAGAAAGGTTCATCCTTGATTGTTTTAACTTTCTTATCTCAACATGGAGCATCAATATATCTCATGAACTGGCACTGATAAAAAATAATAATTTGGGATAGCCTAAGCATGTAATACTTGCGCATCTGGTTACCACACAAAAGTATTACCCGTCTGCCGTTTGGTACAAGAGACACTTGCAGCATTAGTCTTCTAAACAGTCTTCACGCACTAAAATCCACATTTCTGGCTTTCTGCACGAAGTCTGGAAAATAAAGACAGAAATAAATCATTTGAAATAGAGCCCTCAAAAGTTAGGAAACATCTTATTCTTACTGATGCATAAGTTCACATTTTCTTAGTCAAAATGTGAGTGGAAAGGGATCTCTCACCACAATGAACACCTTTTACAAACAGATCCAATCAACAAAGCTACTAGGTCAGATGTCTCGAAACATAGAAGTTACATTTGTCAATAACTGGATTCCATGGTATAATAAAGCGTGAGGTAAAAAAAAAAAAAAAAAAAAAAAAAAAAAAAAATTGTAGTATATATAAAACGTGTTCTTTTATTTTGCAACCTACAATATATTTCTTGGTAAAATGCAACTTGAGCTTCATCAACATCTCGTAATTTTGGATCATACACGTGTGTGTTTTTGCAGATGATTGTATGGTCAAGATGCAATAAAGGTTGCAAGTTATGAATGCTCTCAAGTTGCATTTTACCAAGAAAATTACAATATCGCAAAGTCCGAAAACACGTAAAGTACATGTAGCAAAAAAATGTTTTACCCTAAAACATGCTTATGGCAGATTACAGAAAGCTACATAATGCAAGTTCTACATTACATTCACCATAGGGAATAAGCTAAACCGATGTTCCAAGCCCTGCTTTAATTTCAAATTTGCATTCATAGCCAGAGAACATTACAATTCCAATCAACATACTGGGAAATTGATCCCTGATAGGGTGACAGGAATGATTTCCATTAACGTTCTGTCCACCAATTCTACATTTCCTTTAAGTGGGTGGTTGGATAACATTATTTAATGTATATCAACAAAAATTTAGTCTAGATTGAGGTTTCTCCTACTCGAATGAACACACCGCAAGTGTATTAATCATTTCATTTTCCCATCAGATAGCATCTAGCAAGATGTCGATGAAAAAGAAACCTTATCATTTTGGTTTACTCCTAAAATGTTTATGCCTTTTTTTTTTCTTGAGAGAATTCGAACTTGATTAAGGGCTGTGCATATGCCATGCGTGCTTTTACCTTTCAATCCGAGATGTTCAGTATATGCCAAGTGGTATGCTGTATTTATTATTTTTAGGTGGCTTATAAAATTATTACAGTGACCTTAGATCATTTTTTTTAAAAAAAAAAATCAGGATGGGCCCCCTAAAGGTTCGTCTTTGTTCTTAAATTACAGAAAGCAGAATCTGATATTTTCATATTGGAATTAGAGTGGTGTATAAAAGAGATACTTCACAAGTCAGTTTCTCCAAAAGACAAATTAGGAATATCTGTAAGCATATTAGTAAATTTCAATATTTTGCAGCATATTTGAAAGGTCTTCCATATTTGCTCTATATTACCAGCACAATTGAGTGCATTTCTATATCTGCTTTAGGTGAATAAGGCCAGCTCATATTATATTCGTTCATATCCATGTTATAATAACTACAAAGGGTGATATCATAAATTACAGAATTTACAGGATAAGATTTCAAAGCAATTGTAGCATTCTAAACATTCTGGTTCATGATAATTACTAAGATGATTTACCGACCAAATTCAATGTTTTTTCTACAATTGTGGGTAGCACACAGCATCTACGTATACAAGCGAGCATAAGATAATAGCCAAAATTATCTTAAACTGCTCAAGAATTGAATACCTCATAAAAAGGCTGCCATCCCTCATCTCGATATCGCAGTAGAATGAATTTATCGTGCATAACACCAAATCATCAATTTAAACCAGCCCTGAAAACAGAAAAAACAACAAGTTAATTATCAGATCACAGCTAACGAGAAGCAGAACGAGCTTGTCTGATGCAGTTTACCTGGACACATGATATATACAGGCAATTAAGTCAAGCTAGAGGACTTTCCTCCTTGAAAAACTGTGGGGTATTAATTCAAAGTCCCTGTCATTAAGTACGAGAAAGTGTAATAAATTAGATTCTGAATACAGTTTTGAACTATTTAAATATGAACGAAAAGAAAATTCACAATAGCATCCCTGAAAAGTTGTAACAAATATTCATCATAACCTTTTTCGGTTAAAATTTATCAATTTAGAATATACTATTATTGTATAACAACATTGACTATAATAAAGATATCCAGACCAACTTCAAGGTCCATACGTCATCCTGATATTTTTTTATTGGAATTTGGATTGGGAGGTGAATTTCTATATTTGCAGCAAATTTAACCTACATTTGCAGCATACAAAGGAATTTCTATATTTGCACCACGACTATAGGGATGTCGATATCGCTACATAATAAAGAGGTAACAAGCAAGTGCGAGCCACATCTTATTTAAAGGCAATAACCTCACTGAATTCCTGGGCCATCGCTTTAAGTCAACTCACATTACATGAATCCATAAAAATTATAACTGAAAAGGGAAGTGTCCAAAGTTACCTAAATACTGAATTTTTTGTATATATTCAGGGACTCATATATAGAATCAGATAGGACATATAATATGCAATTCCATTGATTGTAATGAGAATAAACCAACTCACTGCATTTAAAGCCAACCACTAAGAACCTCGTTATTCTAAAGCCGATACACCTCATGGTTTTTGTGAGCCAACAACTTTAATGAATTAAACCAACTCAGATAAGTTGGTTGATAACGATGTAAAAACTAAAAAAAGTGATATCATAAATTCTAGGATTTGACAAATAAAGGTTCGAGCAAAGATAGTACCTAAATTATTGTAATATATAAATTAGGGAGGTGGTTGCGGATTACAAAAATAAACCTAGCTGTGCAAAAAAATTACTCATAATGACAACATGGAAAAAACAAGGTGGCCACATCAGCATCCGTCGAAAAAATGGTCCCTTCAAACTCCTTGAATGATTGTCCAACTCAGATAAATGACTGTAACTGGCCCACAGTCCATTGGCTAATTTCAGACCAAGGTTTGTCTATTTCCAAATCATGACTCTCAAAAAGAAATACATGTTGATTTCGTGTTCGGAAGAACAAGACCCAATTAGGAAAGTGGAATGTGGATTCATTTTATAACCAATGCACGGTGAAAGCAGGAAACAGTGATTTAAGCTGATAACAGAAAAGACCAATATAATTGAATTAGTAATCACATACGCTTGCACCTGAGGTGGTGTATTACAAATCTATCATTGCACTAGTCATAATATATTGTATCTTCATGTTAGAGGTGTTATATTATATGTCCATCTTTGCACCAGAGGTGGTGTGATTACTATATACCTCATATTTCAAAGAGCAATTATTAACATAGCATAATAGCGTCTTCCAAATATATGTGAGAACATAGGAAAAACAATAAGTTTATTCCATAATTAAGTGGCCATTTATTCAAATTCTTTCATTATCCTTAATTGTTTACCTAGACATAGACAGATCGTCGAATATTGTAAAAATCTTCTTTAGAGCTGCTATCTAATCAAATCAAACTTGGCCCCTATTCCCCCGTCGTGTATTCATGTTTCTTTTTGTCTACAAACTTCTTGAGATTTTTTAAACATTTCAAATATATCTAGCCATCAACACCCAAAATAAATTTTATCCTCCGCAAAATCCTCCCTAAATGGCTCAATTAAATTCTAGTGCTTCTTCTATTAGTGAAGTTTCTAGAAAAAACAAAAATCAAACGATGCAATGCACCTTGGGTCGCTACGGAAACAGCCTCCTTGTATAATTACAAGGGTAAGGTCTGCGTACAACTGACCCCCCAGACCCCAACCAGTTGGGAATATACTGGGTATGTTGTTGTTGTTGTTATAACCCAACATTTTTGTGATACATAAGTAATTAGTGTGATCCTACTTAATCCTAAACTTTCATCTACTCAATCAAGAAAAGCAAACAAGACCCTGATATTGCACGAGAAAAAAATATGATGTGGACATATATGTGTGTTTCAAATAAAGAAATAAGATTTTCCTTATAATCCTAGGATATATATGTGTGTTTCAAATAAAGAAATAAGACTTTCCAACTTTAGGTTGATATTAACATTTCAAATAAACGCAGTCATCATCAAGAACCAAAACAATAATGTCATCCTCCTCTTGCATCCAAACATGTATTCAGCAATATTATCACTAATTACGATATTCCTACTTTATCCAAAATTTTCTTCTATTCTATCAAGAACGTCAAACGAGATCGTGATTGCACTAAAGTTTTTGTAAATATCGATACATCTGCAGTTTAAATAAAGGATAAGACTTCTCTCTACCCCACTACTCGCTATTCACACTAAAAGATATTTACATAATATGACTTGCCATCTTTCCAATCATATGTGCACTTAAGCTATGCAGTTAAAATCATCAAGCAAATTAACAGAAACACGGAAGTGATACCAAAACCAATCAGCGTATTTATGCCTGCGCAGCAGCATTAACAACACAGTTCAAAAATACTTATCTTATGTATACTTAACGGTACACAACTTCCAAATTAGTAAAATGCAGAAAATATATATACTTATACGCCAAAGCAAACCATGCAAACTTTGTGCCTATTTGAAGCAGTGATCACATAAAAAAAATTTAAAAACTTAATATATTAATAGTTCCCAAAAGATAAAGCATTTGCGGAATCATGGCCGGCTACCGGATGGATACCTATTCATTGCCGCCATCAGCTGCCTCACCAGCATCGTCCGGTGCATCCCAATGGAGACCCCTGGCAAGGGACATCAAATCAAATTTTTAATAACATTAGTAAACACCCCCCACCGACATTTTTTACCCATGCAGTAAATATCCTTATATGCACTCCTCGATGTTTTCGGGCCTGTCAATCCATATGTTCCGATGGGGTTCCTCTTTGCTCCAGTCAAGACGCATCTTTGAGTCCGGGTAGTACCTCTTCTGACCGGGAGAGTACATCACACACCGGGCCCCATGGAACTTCACCTTAGAAAAGACAATCCTACCCGCAGTGGGCATCGCCACGTCCACCTTCGCCAGAGATCTCAAGCCGTTGACAAACAGCGCCACTCCCTCCAGCGACCCCCCCAAGGGCAGCCACTCCTTCCCATTCTCCCAACCCACCCGATAAACAACCGGGCCAGGCCCCGGGCCCGTACACACGACGTAAAGCTCCCCCGCGAGCTCGGCCATGAACCTCGCACGCCACGGGTTACCGAGAACCTGAACTCCCAGGCAGATAGGTGGCACGATGTTACGGACTGACCAGGTGAAGGTAACCGGGTCGAACACCCCCAGCTGCCCCTGCAAGCTCAGGCAGTAGAAGCAGCCGCTGCTGTAGACAATCTGGACCCACGCGCTATAGAAGTGGTGCAGGGGCCTCGCGAAGGTGATAATCTTCCATTGTTCCCACCCAAGCCGCCAAAAGGCGATGGTGATGTTGAGAATGGTCTGGGAGATGGTGAAGACGATGAGGCTGGTGGAGTAAGGAGTCGAAGTGAAGGCGGTGCTCAGGGGCATGCTCCTCGTCGCCCATGGCCGAGGGATCGGTCGGGTGGCACGTTCAAAGGGGCTGAAGAAGAAGAGAGTCAGCGTGAAGGGGTGGTTGAGGAGGAGCCACCCATCATTGGAGTAGAGGACCCGGGAATTCCGGATCTCGGGGAACTCACAGAGATACGAGATGGAGGCTGAAGGGTCGTACAACTCGAAATAATCCCCCCGTTTTGGGATGTGCACGAGAAACGGATGGGGCTTGGTCCGCCGGACGGAAACGGCGGAAGCCAGCCACCGGGTGGAGACAGCTGAGGCGCGTATGTTTTCGAGGAGGTTTAGTCGGGACATTATTAACTCCAGGATCTCGGGAGGAAGGCCACGTTCTTCGCGTTCCTGCCTCTCGTCGTCCCTCCTCGTGATGTTAGCCAATCTACAAAGACACAACGTGATCGAAATAATAACCGTAGTAGTAAGGATGGGAGCATTAGTGCGCTGCATGTATCATGTGATTGGTAAAATAAAGTGAAAAAAAGTCACAGCTGTTGGGTTTACGTATAAAAAGACGACTTTTATTGAATCTGACAGACCTTTGGGAACAATATGAGCTTCTAGCTAGTAAATACCCGATACGAACTTTCTTGAAATAAATGCAAAACCTTGACTGCCGTCACATGACTGTTTTAGGTCAGTCCGTAAATATTTTACGATAAAGTGAAGAAACATGTTTGGAAACCCAAACCGGGAAATCATGTGTGTTCTCTTAATGAACTAGAAAAAGTCACCGCTCCTGTATCGTGGCGTAGAAGCATGGCTGAAGTGGAATGCAGATCAATGAAAATGTTTATTGTTCAACAATAAACAAATAAAACTTTAAAATGAGTGAGGAACGCAAACAATATATCCCTAACCACGTTCATGATGAATTCCACAACTCATGCAAAAAACATCCGATCTCATTCTCTTGAGACGTACATGATTACTACAAACCCTTCACTTATAAATGTTTTAAATTTAAAAAAAAAAAAAAAAAAAAAAAAAAAAAAAAAAAAAAAAAAAAAAAACACACACACACACACACACACACACATAAAACATATATACATAAGTATTAAATTCAATTACCCAATCACCAGGCACTGGGTTCAATATTTTTTATTTTTTTTTTTCAATGATGAGATCTAACTTAAACAACTAGAGAATAAACCAATTCCTGAAAATCAATCGAATCTCTATCTCTTAAAACACTGAAGCCTGTCACATGCATAAGTACTACAGACCTTTCACCCTAAATTGTTCTCAATTACAAATCAAATAAGACAGCATTTATAACATATATTGTCAATAAGTTATAATAGGCAAACACCAATTACTGAATTCAACCTTTCGGTTGTTTAAGATCCATCTTACTTGACTAAATTACGAGTTCATGAAAAATAATTGAATCGAATTCTCTTGAGGCACAATCATGATTGTTACAGCCCCTGTCACCCTACAAATGTTTATCTCAAAATCACAAATGAAATAAAAAACACAGATACCAAACAAATAAAATGAAGCATCCAGATACCACTCTCATAATTCAACTGATTTAAGAAAATATAACAATCAGATCTAGCTAGCTACATTGATAGGAAACGAATTCATGAAAGATTAATAGGATAACATACATGATCAAAACCCTTTAAACCCATTAAACATTTCTTTTAATCACAAATCAAAAATTTTGTTCAAATAAAATGGACATGCAAACACAATCAATAGCTCAATTCATTTTTTTTTTTTTTCCCAAATGATAAACACAATAGAAAGGTCGCTTAATCAGATAAAATCCCAGCTCGCACAAAAATCAACCAGATCTCGCTATCTAAGCCCTAAAAACCAATCAAACACAAGATCAAAAATCCAATTCATTACCAATATAGACATAAAATGACATGCATATACCGATTGCTGATTTCAATTGATTATATTTAAAAAAAAAAAAGAAAAAAAAAAACTCACGTTCTTATTTTCTTCGCCCGTCGCACTCGCACTCGCGCCATTGTTAGTAGATTTTTGGTGAATTCCGGCTACTGGAGCTGGAGTTTAGTGTGTGTTTGTGTGTGAGGGAGAGAAATTCAACGGCGGACTTACGGCAGGGCAGCCGGAGAGATCTTCGAGGTCGACTGCTGTAAATGGTGATGAAGAGAGCGGTGTGCGAGTGTGCGGGTTTTTATATAACCAAATGAAAAAAAATATAATATAAAAATCCGATTTTTCTCACAATCGGTGCTTTTTAATTTTCCCAAAAAGGGCGCCAATGAGCTATTGCCGCGTAAGAAATTACATAATTGGGTCTCCTATGAAGCTTTTCTTTACGTAAAAAAAAAAAAGTTAAGTTAAAAAAAAAAAGAGAAAAAAAGGAGGAGTGGAACAAAATAAAAAACACGTATTTTGTAAATACGTTTTCTGCACAATTTAATTGTAAAACGTATTAGGTTAATGCGTTTTCTTTTGTAAAAAGAATATGTAAAACGTATTCACAAAATACATTTTACAATGAAATTGTAAAGAAAACGTATTTTGTAAATACGTGGTTTTTATGTTGGTCCACTCTCCCTCTTTTTTTTTTTTTTGTTTTTTGTCCATTTGTTTGTTTTTTATTTTATTTTTAATATATAAATTACCCCTCCTATGAAATGAAATTACATTGATTGTGTAATCATCTCATAATATAGTGTTAAAGAATGTGGGAAATAAGAATTTAGTACATGAAATTTTGACAAATAAATTAGTGTTAAATAAATATTGTGGTGTCTATAACAATCTTGATCCTGTCCAACATTAATTGAACCATTGAACCGTTAGAATGATCTACAAAATAGCATCGAGAGTTGTCCCGACGTAGAAACTATGACGTCCAAGTCAGTTTTCAAGGGTTGAATAGTATAGTGTCTAATAACTTAGAATCTTCAGAGAGAACATAAGAATAGTGATCATACATCACCCTTCTAGATAGAGTTAATTACTTTGTTAGCCAAGATCGTTCGATGTTGCCGCCCCAAGGAAGGTTGTTGCCAAAGTATTATTCTTATTCTTATCTATTTACGTTCGGACTATTCCATTTTTTAGGTGGACATTCTTCACTTGATCGCACTAAGTAACTCGATCACATATCTTCTGGCTATTCTTGCCTCATTGGGCGTAGTACTCTCTTTGAGTTTAGGTGACTCAACCTAAGAGTAGAGCTTGGTATCTTCATGAGATCAATCGATCAATCAGCGAGTTGTAGAGTACATCTGATCAATCGAGCTACCTCCAGGCTAAACGAGCTCCCAAAGTTGGTATGATATACCATATCATTTAGTCCCCTCTAACTCTGGTCGAGACAAGCTTGCTCGACCTAATAGTAGGGTTTCAATTTCAAAACTTGAAAAGGGTCCCGCCTAAAACCATTCATCAAACCTTTCAAATTGCCTGACAATTTTTCAGAAATGTTGTCACTTCACCACCAATAGTAAATTACATTGGCGTATTAGGAACACGTGTCATGATGGCTTTTTAAAAAAATCGTTACCAATTAAAGACGTGTGATAAGTTATATGAGATCTAAAGCTCGTTTAAATTGATTCTTACCCTATTAATTTGATATCAGAAGTCAATATCACAATTACACTGAAGATTGAATGATCTCATTCGGGAGCTTGTAAAAGGTAAGTCTAATGTTATAATAATTATCGGAACACATAACTTATGAAACCATGCATCCCCATTATATATAATTCTCGAATGTACTTAGTCTATGTGGCATACTCGCATGCTTCGGGATCCTATGTAGCAAAATTTCATGTTTCATTATTTGGCTTGGATAGATTTAAATTTACTTTCATTCTAAAAAATAATTAGGCTTGATTGTCCATAAATATGTATATTATTTATGGTTATTTTAGATGTGTTAATTGCATTTAATAGTGTTTCCTATTACAACCATTAAATTGTAAATGTACTTCAAATGTTAATAACTATTGTATTTTTTTTTTATCAATTTTACATATATAATATATTAAATTAAGCATCCCTTAATGAACTTTGATTTGACATCCGTATTGTATGTATCAATGTTTTAAATACTGTATCGGTGGTCATAGTGGTCTAACCACGGGTACGTGGTATTATTGGACAAGCAAATATAATGATATATATAAATATACATAAAAATGTATAATACTAAATGCAAAAAATAAAAAATAAAATAACCATAATCATTAATTTCAAATTCTCAATTAGATAAAAAATATTTCAAACCAATTTAAATTTGACGTTTTTAAATTAATAAATTTGTTTTTTTTTATTGTTGACCGGTATATACGGTATGATCTCGGTAGAAACCGGTATAACCGTAATTCTGGTATTTTGTGTGTAATTGTACCGTACCATTGGTCGGTATCCAGTATGACCGATCGGTACGGTATTTAAAACACTAGTAGGTATAAAATAAATAAATTATACTTATTCTTACAACAATAATAAAATTATTTATTAATAATAGTTAGAAAAGTAAATTATTTATTAGTTAATATATTTATTTTAAAGTAGTTATATGATATAAGTTAGAAAAATTATTATAATATCTATTAATATATAATAAGGATTAACATAATTCACTTTTAGAAACACTTTCCCGTCAATTTCATTAATTATTGCCTAAAATAGTAAATTAACAAAATCTCTATTTATTAGCATATCTTTTTATCCATTTTTTTTAGGAATGCAATAAAAAAATATGGAATCAAAATCAAAATAAATCTAAGAAATATACTTACCATACTTAATACACTTAATTTAAGAAATACACTTATCATACGTATTTTTAAAAAAATTAAATACAATATAAAATATTTAATAAATAATTGCCAATAAAAGATTCTTTTTAAGAATTAATAATCATATTTCTAATAATTGTTAGAAATAATATTATATATATATATTAGTATTTACGTGAAAGTAACATATATGTTACTTATATGTTAATATATATGTTAACATATATGTTAATCCTATATAATAAGGATTAACATAAATCAAATTTAGAAACGATTTCCCGCCACTTTCATTAATTATCTCCTAAACATAGTAAATCAGCTGTTTTTTTTTTTTTTTATTAATAACATCAAATACATTTATATTGGTAACCAATAAGGAATCAAATTTTGAATAAATCTCCTATTTTACCAAACAATTTAAAAATCCAAATGTAAAACCGAATAAATCATGATTTTAAAAATCGTGATTTCCAAACAATTTGGAAATCCGAATAAATCTCCAAGGAAAATCATGATTTGTATATATCATTATTTTAGAAATCTGTTCAAAATTTTCTTTGCATGAATCTGAATCATAATCCATTCAGCCTAATATTATATTATTAAATTGTTTGAAACCGCATACTAAGATTTGTATATATCGGATTTCTAAAATCATGATTTGTATATATCATCTTTTCACCAATTAGATTGTTTTCTTCATTATCGATTTGAAAAGGAAAACGAATTTTATATACCTTATCGATTTTGATAATACAATGTTATAATCATTATCATTATTTATTTTAAAAGATAGTGTTTGTCATTTATTTGATTTCAAAAGATGAAAATTTTTTCATAGTTTAGGTCTCTTTTTATTTATGCATTTACACAAATTAATTTAAAAACTCTAATAACGATTGGCAACAAAATTTGTTATATATTGATTCAAACCAACTAATTAATAAAAGAGTCCATCAATCACGAAATTAAAATATAACACACGATCACTACATTTCAAAGGTTAAGTTTTTTTAGATAAACATTCATTTATATTGTCATGACGATAAACAAGAGTGAGTGTCAATCTTAGAAATTTGATGATTTTAACTGTTATATTTTCAATGATTTTTTTACCGTAGGAATTTCCGTTGGAATATGCAAATTCCGTTGGAATTTTTATTTCCACCCCGTTGAAAAATCCACCGCTGGAATCGTCAAAATCCAACGAAAATTCCAATGGAAAATTCATTCCAACGGAATATTTTTGTTGGAATTTCCGTGGAATCTATTGAAAATTTCCAACGGAAATAATAGTATTGAAATATCTATTGGAATTGTCGTTAGAATAATTTTTTTTGGATAGATTTTCATTGGAATTTTATCATTTTATTGTAGTGTGCTCAATAATCAAACTAATAATGTTGTTTACAATTAGGTTTTTAATAACATATGATTTTTTTTATACCCGAACATTTTATGAGCATTTTCCGCCCAAAACATTAATTACCTACTATAGATGGAAATAATATAAAATGATCTAAATAAAAAATAAATCATTAATTGCATAGTTTTCATATAACTCGATTTTTGGTTTGTGTTTGTTTTAGTAAATTCTTGGTTTCTTTAATTACGTTGATAGTGGTTTTGTAGGCAAAGATTATGTAAATAATTATATGTAGCTGATTTTGGAACTCCTATTTATCAAGGATTCTTTTTTATTTTAACAGTTTTATTAGAATCATGGATTTGGATTAGAATATATGTTACATACACAAAAAAAAAATAAATAAATAAAAAAAATTATTATAATATTTAAATTTACATGGCATCAATTTTGGAATTCTCATTTGTGAGGATTCTTTTTTATTTTATCATATTTATTAGAACCAACAATTACCAATATAAATTTATATTAATATCTATATATATTTATATTAATATTTAAATATATTTTTCATTGCAGCAGATTTTGAGAATGAAAGATTTTATATGAGATATATATAATTTTTTTTTTAAATATACACCCATTCCCTTTATTGTTATTCTTTTTGTCAACTGTTTTTAAAAGGAAAATTTTTAAAATTTTGTATAGTAAATCGATTTTTTGTTTTTGTATACACAAAATATAAATTTATTGCAATATATATATATA